TTAGTGGCATTTTTCTTTTTTAAAAAAAATAAATTCTTTACAAGATATCTCTAATCCCCCTACCTCTGCCTCCACTTCTTGAACATCATTTAACGCTAACATTGTATTTGTGCGTGCCTTATAGACATTTCTTTTGAAGGTCTATAAGCACTCACTTTAGCCAAAGTTGAAATGATCATTTTACGAACCATCCTGCTTCTCATCATTATCTTCAAAACAAGAAAACTACAGTCCTTCTTTAATAACACAGGTATGAAAGCCTACCTGACTTTTGATTCCTTTTCATCATTCATGTCCAGTAAAGCAGCAGGCTATGTGTATTCCTTAAATCTGGCTAGAACTTATTCTTTCACTTTATTCCTGCTATTCTGGTTCTAATTTGTGTCTTTTTCTTTGCACCCATTTTTCTCAACCTTTATAACTGTGTGCAAGGTGTCAGAATCACCTTAGGCATTTGTTTAATCTGCAGCTGTTTCACACTCTAGACTTAGACAAATCTGTGTGGTAAGGCCAAGGGTAAGTGGTTTATGGGGTCTGCAGGTGATTTTTCTGGTACTAAGTCGGGGTTAAGGACCTGTTCTGCATTCCTGTCTTTCTATTTCTGCTTGAGAAGTCTCTTCTCACTTGCTGCCTTTCAGAAAGCTACAAGTTATGAGACCTTTTAAGTCCACTGGCTTTAAACAACAAATATTTCTTCTCCAAAAATATTGTTTTACCATCATGAATTGCACAGACCTTTTTTTTTTTTTTTTCCTTTTGGCAGAACTGGAGTTGAACTAAAGCCCTTGCACTTGCCAGGCAAGCGCTTATGCTAGTGAGCCGTCTCTCCGTCCCCCTGCACTGACTTTAGTTACTATTAGCGACAAATCATATTTGTTCTTTAAAAGAAAACCTCAAAACTTATTTTAAAATAAACTATAACCTATTAAAAATGGTTCCCGTTTCCCTTTCCCCCATTGAGCACTTTTTTTTTTTTTTTTTTTTGCTGTCTTTTTGATATCAAGTGAATCATTGTTGGAAACAGTGCCTCCTAGTGGAAGAAAAGAACCATGGGGAGGGTCTGATTCAAGGAAAGACTGAGAGCTTACTTTGGCATGATTCTTTTTATTTAATCACCCTTTAACCAATATTTATTAATACCTACTGTGTGCAAAAAAAAGAAAAAAAGACTATTGTCATTTGTTGAGCTGTCCATAGCTCGACAGGTATTTCCTACATCACCATACTGGTACCCCAAATTCTACCAGTTAGAAATTATGTATTAATGCCATGCATATTCTTTTTAGAATAGGTACAGATCCTGAAGGGGTAAGATAATCACTTGAAGAAAAAAGAATTAGGGGAAGGAAGGGGGCTGGGGAGATGGCTCAGTGGAATAAGCGCTTCCCTGGCAAGTGCAAGGGTCTGAGTTCAACCTCTGGTTACTCAAAAAAAAAAAAAAAAAAAAAAGAATTAGGGGAAGGGGTTGCAAACAGCATCTAAGCCAATTTGGGGGGGCATAAGGGGAAGCTTAGGACAGCAGAGGAGCACTAAATAGAAGCATTAAAAGGAGCTAAAATGCCAACTAGGTAAAATTGCTCTTTGTAAATTTTACTCAGGTGCTTTCAGGAAGTATCTCAACTACTTAATGGAGGAAAAGTTTATTTTACCTTTGGGTTGAGGTTTCAATTTAGGGGCTGGGGAGATGGTTCAGTAGAATAAGCACTTCCCTGGCAATTGCAAGGGCCTGAGTTCAATCCTGGTTGAGAGAGAGAGAGAGAGAGAGAGAGAGAGAGAGAGAGAGAGAGAGAGAAACAAATTTAGTAATGCATGACTAGGAAGCTAGGAGGTCAGTGCCTCAAAATGGGCAAAGACAAAGATACCCCAACTAGCCACCACTTATTGGGTATACTCAATAATTGGAGGGATTATTGGATGATCCAGAGAATGGTGATCGGCTGGCTGCAGGGCACAGTGGTGTAGCAGAAGAGAAACAGTTCATGGCATGCGGAAAAGAGGCAGCAAGCAGTTGCCTTCCTTTTGCTTTTTATTCCATTCAGGCTACAAGTCTGTTAGTTGGTGCCAGCCACACACAGGATAGACCTTCCTAATAGCCAAACCCAGAACTACGCTAAACCAATCAGCAGACCAATCTAGTTATAACATGACACCCATAATATCTAGTATTGTGCACCCATGATCAGCCGTAGGTATGATCCCAAAAGTCATGCCTATGAGCACATGGGTTTTCAGGGACATCTAGATATTGTGTTTCCCTACTCCAAAGAAGAAATACAAATAGAAAGATATAATACAAGGAATGGGAAAGCAGGATCTCAAGGACTAACTAATCAAGAGAGGGAAAGGTGATGAGCTAGGAAACATGAAAATGTTAAGCCATGCAGTTATATGTAAAAGA